TCTCTCTCCCTCTCTCTCATGTCCATCGTCGACAGACTCGACCAGGGAGCAAATTTGCCCTCTTTGTTTTGTTTGTGGGGCTTTAATTTTGCTGCTGTTGGAAAATTACCCATAATTGCAGCCTGCAAATGCTTATCCCTCTCGTTTTGCTCTCCAGCTAGTCTCTAGTGAGCACTAGCCTGCCGCCACCATCCACACACACACACACACACACACACAGACACACACACTCCTCTCACACTTGCGTGTAAGTGTGTACACAAACACAGGCTGCCACCATTTGCTGATAAATGGCTGCTTTTTTGGTTTTTGGTTTTTTTGCTCTCTCTCTCCCTCGCTCTCTCTCTCTCTCTCTCTCTCTCTCTCTCTCTCTCTCATGTCCACCCTGAGGTTGATAATGAGCGGTGGGTAGGAGGCGATTTATTTTTCGGTACTATGCAGCTGATTTGATTAATCACGTTCTTTCTTGACTAATTAAATTACCATAATAGATTACAGTGTATTTGAGCCCAGTTGCCTCGCTGTTTGTTTTCAACTCCTCAGTTAAAAAAAAATCATGTTTTAGAAAAAAGCGATGATCAATGACTTTTATTGTCCATAAATAATTCAAGAGCCGTTTCTCCAGAACAGAAGTTGATCACTGAAAAAAAATCTACACATGAAACTCTTGACAGTAAAACACTGAGCGCAGCCGTCTGTCTGGCCGACACACACACACACACACACACACACACGTGATGCATTACAGATGGTTCCGTTCACTCATGGTAGTCTGTAATGTACCCTGTGTGTTGCTTCACTCTGCTGTACTGAAGTACGCTCAGCTGGAGAGTACTCCTCTACTCTCCCCTCAAACAGTCAAGTGTGCTGCCCTCTGGTCCAGATATAGATTACTGGGTGACCTGTTTATTTAAGCTTGGGGTTTTAAATCCCATGGTTTTATCTTTCCCACAGTGGGACACGGTCAGTACCGTGTTTGTTCAGACGAAGAACCAAATGTGAGACTGGAGAACAAAATTTGGGCTTTTTTCAATTGTTGTTTCCTCTGATAAAAGAAAACATCCTCACAGACGTACAGTATCTGAGACAGGAAGTTGTTTGACCTGTAGAGGCAGAGAGTGGTCAGCAACACTATTGGCTGTGGGGGCTAAAAATAGTTTTCAAACACTAAATCAATGCTGTTTTTAAAACGTGAACAACTTATCTGACAGTGTAACAGCAAAAATATATTAAATTTACTTCAGGTTCCACTATGAAAATTGGTTCAACCAAGATAATCTCAACTGTTTGGTTGTTGTTGTTGACACACAAACACACAGTGGAATTTCATCAGGTACATTTTACCCATCTGTGAAAACAAGGACCAATTTAAGAAAAATGCAAATAGGCAACAAACTTCATCAAAGAGTGAAGACAAAAATAAATCCCAAACTGCGATAAACTTCTTCCTTTTATCCCTGTGAAGGACATAAACCTACAGTGCTTTTTCCATAAGTCTCTCTGTCCTCTTTATGGTTGCTGTAAGTCAGCTTTATATATTGTTTTATATTGTTTGGCAATAGACGCCGTGATAAAGCTTTTTGCTATGTCCGCACGAGGAGCCGCTAAAACGGTTTCCTCTGACGATTGTAGCGTGGAAAATGAAAGCCAGTTGCGTGCAAGTCAGTAGAGCAGAACATTCAAACCAAAGAAGAAGAAAGTCAAATAAATGGCACTCCCTGTTTCACTGTGTACTGTTGTTTTCCCTGTATTTGCATTTTTTAAGTGCGATGTCCTGAGCACGATAAACTTGTCCTGGAAACAGAAACTGGACGCACTGATAATGGTCAGCTTGGTGAGACGGGACAAAGTCGCAGAGAGAAGCAGAGGGAGGTGGACCAATCACTGGTTTTTATGATTTTGTTTTGGTCAATATTTATCCAAAAGAAACAGCTCCTTTAAATTCATCCCCTACTCTGTTGTAAACATACAGTAAACTTTGCTGCAAACACCAAACACGCCCAACAAACTGCACTGTTGCTGATGACAATTGGACCTGTGTCGTGTGAGTGCACCCCATCGAACCTGTGTGCAGTCACCTGACATGAAATGTTCACACCAGTGGATGGAATAATAACTGAACAGCTTTGACTCTTCCCTACAGCCTCTTCAGCAGCGTCTCTTACATCAGACATGTGGTGCGTTTGCTCGCTTGAGCAGCCAATAATGCAAAGTTGCCATCTGTCCAACGACTTCTGCCAAGATTTAAAGATACTGTAAATCTTGTGCGTCTTGCACAGGCCTCCATACGGCAATGTTCTAAACCACTGTTGCTGTGCAACTTGTAGATTCCATCGTTTTCTAATGATCTTTTTTAATGTTTCTGTGTTAGGACTGAAGGTGGCGCTAGACTAAGGCACAGACTATTTTTTTGTGGACTTCTTCATTTCCTATCACCATAGCAGTAGTTCACATAAGGATTTAATTTATAGTATTTTACAGCAGACGCCCCTGCAGACCCAAGTCTCACCACTAGGGTCAAAGGATGGGGCACAATTGATTTGCACCACCAACATCTGCCTAGTTTAAAAAGTGCTGTGTTTACCTGCTGTCACTGTAGCAGGTTTTTTGGCTCATTTTTAATGAGGGTGATTAAGGTTAAAGGTCAATTTGAAAGTTTGAAGTTGTCTAAAATAATTACATTGGATTGTTATTCAAATTTTTTTTTTTTTCTTAGTCAAAACTAAACACTCGTTACACTTGACCTGACACTCTAGCCGACCTGCTGCTCCACTCTGGTGGTGAGAGGAGCTGCTCTTCTGCTGGATCCTCACTGCATATGTATCAGACTCTTACTGTAGTCATTCAATCTGACACCGACACTCAGCGCTGATACCTGGGCTAATTCTTTAATCCGTCCTAAACACGCCGCAGTAGAATTCATTAGGATCTGAGAGCTGTCAGGGTGAGGTGTGTCAAATGTGTGTGACATTTTCAACCTCTCAGCAGTTTGACCACTGACAGTTCAACAACATCCTGTGGAAACTGCTTTAACTAAACCCTATTTCAGAGACGACATACAGAGTGTTTTTTGGTCATAATCCTTCATAGAAATTTAGGCCAAATTTGTTTTGAGTTTTCACTTACACACAAGTAAAAGACAGTAGACAAACACAGAGACATCTGCCAAACTGAGCCCAGATGGTCCGTCCAATCAGTGAAGAGTGAATGTAACAACACTTTTCTCTGATAAGTTCTAGTTACGTACAATCAAATGTTTAATTACGGTCATGGCCACCTCTTGGCATAGGCTATAAAGGCGGTCACCTAGAGTGCCATCTGCTGGACGGGCATCGCAAGGCTGTATGAGAGTGTGTCTGTGTTTGGGTAATTTCACCTAGGGTAACTGCAGATTGTGGTGCCCTGACTGTGGTACACGTGTTGGCCTTGTTAACGCGATCGTCTTCCACTGGGATACATCTAATAAATGTATTACGGTAACGATAGTAACAAATACATGACATATTCTTTTGTCTTTAGATCATAATTACGATCTGGCCTAAATATATAAATACTTGAAATAAAATGTAATGTTATTAAAAAAATCGTCATTAAAGATTTACTAGCACAGTACCACGGTACAGTACGTGGTACTTAGCAATGTTCCCGGACACCGTGGAGTCATCATAACCTGACAGTGAGTGGGTTATTTTAACAGTGACATGTTCTGAAGAGGAACCAGATATTCTCCATCCACGTGTCATTACAACCTCTCCTCTGGTGGTGATTAGATCAGTGGAGTGATCACACCAATACCTCCGACATGTCAGCCCTACACTGTGACTTGTTCACCGGGTGAAATTCATTAATGAACATGATAGTGTGTGTGTGTGTGTGTGTGTGTTTGGTGTGTGTGTTGGAGACGTTGTGCCGCTGCTCAAAGGGTTGCGCGTCCGCCTCACTTTCTAACTGCATCTGTTTTTAATATTTTTCATTTTTCACAGTGACATCAACATCCAGCCGCCGACCCACGCTGTCTGATTAAAACGTTTATCATGTTTATGTGTGTGTGTGTGTGTGTGTGTGAACGTGCCAGTGTTGTTTACTGCGGGGAAAATGCCAACTAACTACATTTAGATTTTCTGTTTTCTCCTCTCTCTCTCTCTCTCTCTCTCTCTTCCATCAGATGAGCTCCCATAAACAAACCAACATGCAAATGTACCAGTTAATAACACAAGCAAACACAGGTACACAAGAAAACCCCCACAACCCCTACCTTCCCAAACAAACACACACACCTTCTAGCCCACTTGACTGGAGGTGTATGTGAATAGACCACAGGCAGTGAGAGGTACAGAAGGCCAAGCTACTGCTGCTTTTGATGACTGCAGGAGAACAGAAGCAGCCAGGAGGTGTACTTCTGAATATACAAATGCTAAAACCCAACAATACAAGTTAGTTGTGTGAACACACACACACACACAGACACACACACTGAGTGTTTTTTCCCTGTAGCCTCTCTGTCTCCACACCTCTCTGCCCTCCTAACCTCTCCATTTACCGCCCTGGTGTTTAAAGAGTCAGACTTTCACACACACATCACGGCTTTCAAATACTGTGGAAAACTGTGGAAAACGGCCTTCATTCTTTTTGGATATAAAATAAAGACCACATAAAATGCAACTTTTTCACTGGTCCTACAGGCAGGATGGTAGACAGCTGATTTCTTTTAAGACACAAATACAGTCAAAGCCCAGAAGACTGGCTCCTAAAAACAAGTACGCTGGTCGTCCTGTTTTCAAGAGGTTACATTCTGACAGCAGGAGGTCTCCAGTTTGTATCCTGGGTCTGACGGTGGACTCTCTG